AACAATAGCTAGTTTTTATAGTTCCTTTTCTTTTGGGGTTAGTGCAGTCTCAGCAGTTTACTGACACAGTAACTCATGAAACAATCCAGAATCCATACTGATGAATACTGACGCTCTATACCTTAACCAGAAGACATAGGTGGCATGGCCCTTCTGGGAAAGCTACAAATAAGTCCTGATGTAAAATGTTATTTGTGACAGAGTCTTTATGACTGCACATGTGCAGAAAAGGATACGCTTATTTCTAACACCTTACACTAGCTCCCTTTGCAGTTTGCTATTGCATTTTCATAAAAAGTATTTTAGAATCCTTTTTATTTAACACTCTCTTCTGCAGAGAACTGTACAAAGTAGGAAACTCAAAATTATATCATGGCAGTAGATCCCCACGCCCCTTTAAACTCATTTCTTATACACAATATGTAATTATGCTATTACAAATACTCTTACAATTTCTGTTTAACAGGCATTTAGATCTTGTGGGCAAAATGCTGTTAGCAGTACAATGTTTCTTCCACGTTCTAACGGTCTATACATTCTGTTAATTAGAACTTTTTTAGGGCTATCTGGTGACTGTCAATATTATTACACAATGTTCCACAATCTGTAGTACTAGAGTTAACACTTCTAAAGTTAAATGCATTAGAACAATGTATTCACTACTTATCCAAGAATAATGTAGAATTGCTAAGACTCAGCCATTATAATTATCACAGTAATATATTTCACACACAAAAACATATTCATATCTCTGCAGATTTTCAGGTCTAATAGGCACAGCACCTCAACCTTGTTTTGATGGGGAAAAAACCCTCAAATGTAGGCGAGCAGCAAGGCCCTTATATTATGCAGGAGTCAGTCATGTAACCTAATATTAACCTGGTGAATGCTGAGAATGGCATGGAGTTGATACATGATCTGGGAAACCTTATCAGGGTTATGAATTTAGCTGCTCAAAGCTACCATAGCTAAAATGCACTAATAGGTCCTTCTCCTGTTGAAGTGAATGGTACTTTTCCACTAACTTTTGTGGTAGCAGCATCTGTTTGTAAGTATCAGTGCCAAAAGGGGACCTTACAAGGAAACCAGCTATGCTTTGGCTATTGCTTTTGGAAGGAATTATTATATACCACTGGTACTGGAATGCTGGAGCAAAATCGAGTCCTTCATTTCAGTTGCCAAACTGCCTGTCCTCAGAATAAGATCTAACTTAGTAGCAATATGCTGACTTAAGTTGTATTTCCTATTGAATTTCTCTGCTATTTGTTAACTATTGCTAGGTGGGTGGCAATAAATGTGTTTTGTAGATTTGATCAAGTTATGTGTTCTGTTCTATCAATACTTGGGGAAAGTACACACTTTACTTCAAATTATCATCAGTTAGATACACTGGACTCGATCCTGGGCTGCACTGCATTGCATCATAAAGTGGGCCTAAAGCTGAAGTAGCTGTCCCCCGTGGGCTCATCTTAGGGTAGGAAACTTTACCAGTGGCATAAAGCAGCTTTAGACTCAGATTTTAAGGCCAGAAGACAGCATCATAATCATGTAGTCTGACCTCCTGTACTTTGCAGGCCACAGAACCTCACTTACCCACTCCTGGCAGAGTACTGAAGTCCTCAAATTACAGAGAATTCACCATTTACTCTAGTTTAAACCAGCAATATTGTACTTGGACTTAAAGCTTTGACAAGGTCCCCCACTAAAAGCTCTTAAGCAAAGCAGTCATGGGATAAGCGGGAAGGTCCTCTCATGGATCAGTAACTGCTTAAAAGACAGGAAACAACGGGTAGGAATAAATGGTCAGTTTTCAGAAAAGAGAGAAGTAAAGAGCAGTGTCCCCCAGGTATTTGTACTTGGACCAGTGCTGTTCAATATATTCGTAAATTTAGAAAAGGGAATAAACAGTGAGGTGGCAAAGTTTGCAGACGATACAAAATTACCGAAGGTAATTAAGTCCAAAGCAGACTACGAAGTAGGGTGACCAGATGTCTCGATTGTATAGGGACAGTCCCAATTTTGGGGTCTTTTTCTTATATAGGCTCCTATTACCCCCCACCCTGTCCCGATTTTTCACACTTGCTGTCTGGTCACCCTACTGCGAACAGTTATAAAGGGATTTCACAAAACTGGGTGACTGGGCAACAAAATGGCAGATGAAATTCAATGTTGATAAATACAAACTAATGCACCTTGGAAAATATAATCCTCACTATACATACAAAATGATGGGATCTAAATTAGCTGTTACCACTCAAGAAAGATCTTGGAGTCATTGTGGACAGTTCTCTTAAAGCATCCACCCCATGTGCAGCACCAGTCAAAAAAGCTAATAGTGCTAGGAACCATTAAGGGATAGATAATAAGACAGAAAATATAATACCACTCTATAAATCCATGGTACACCAACATCTGGAATACTGTGTGCAGTTCTGGTCTCCCCATCTCAAAAAAATTAGAAATGGAAAAGGTACAGAGAAGGCCAACAAAAATGATTAAGGGTATGGAACAGCTTCCATATGAGACGAGATTAAGACAATTGAGACTTTTCAGCTTGGAAAAAGAGATGATTCGGGGCGTGGGGGAATAGGATAGGGGTCTAACAAAATCATGAATGATGTGGAGTAATTGAATAAGGAAGTTTTATTTACTCCTTCACCTAGCTCAAGCACCAGGGGTCACCCAATGAAATCAATAGGCTTTAGTTTAAAGAAACAAAAGGAAGGGCTTCTTCACACAACGCAGTCAACTTGTGGAACTTGTTGCCAGGGATGTTGTGAAGGCCAAAACTATAGCTGGGTTAAAAAAAAAAATTCATGGAGGACAGGTCCATCAGGGATGCAACCCCATGCCCTAAGCTGGGACTGGACAATAAGGGATGGATCACTTAATAATTGCACTGTTCTGTGCATTCCCTCTGAAGCACTTGGCATTGGCCACTGTTGGAAGACAGGATACTGGGCTAGACGAATCATTGGTCTGACCCAGTATGACTGTTCTTATGTTGAGCAAGTGACCCATGATGCAGAGGGTGGTGAACCCCCTCTCCCCCTGTAGGGTCTCTGCTCATCTGAACTGGGGAAAAATTCTTTCCTGCCCCCACATAGGATGACCAGTTAGCCCTGAGCATCTCTGCAAGATCCACCAGCCAGATACCTGGGAAAGAATTCACTGTAACAACTCAGAGCCCTCCCCATCTAGTGCCCCATCTCTGGCCATTGGGGATATTTGCTACTAGCAGTCACAGATGGGCCACATGCCATTGTAGGCAAACTTCCTCTTCCAACTCCTGCACACATTTAGCGAAAAGAAAAAGACAAATTAGGAGATCATCATCTTCAAAATTTGTAGTTACAAGTCCATATTCTTTTACTATGTTTTCACTAAGGCATTAAAGCAATTTTTTCCTCCTGGTTTCTCTTTCCTAATTTAAACTCCTCCTTTCCTCTCACATTCCTGTTATGATTGTTTCAAAAATTACTTTGAAAGATGACTTCATTAATTTCTGTTCATGATCATTTTATAGATTTTGCCACAAATTCACATGCAACAGTGACTACCATTTTGTATTAGAGAAGAAACATTTCAGACCTCATAATAATTAAACTTTATTAATATAAAATTTTAGTATAAAAATAGAGTAGTTATAACATACATTTAAAATAATTCTAAGATCAAAAGATGTAATCATTTTAAACAAACAAATAGATAAATTGCTTTTTATATTTCATGTAATGAGTTCCAGCACACTATTTCTTCTAACAGTTGTCTTCATCCTTGTTCTCACCTACCCTGTGTATACTGTCTCAAGCTACATTATAAACTTTCTGGGGCAGGGACTACTTCATTATTTTCTCAAGTGCCATGGACATCTATAGCACTATCTGTATGTCATGATAAAGTTTACATGTTTACTTTAAAAAGATACATTGTTACTTAATACCTGAAGTGCTTAAAAATGTACCAGATAAATTCAGTAAGTGACCTGAACAGACCTGATACATCATAAAGTTGCATAGAGAAATAGTCCTGAAACTTATGGATATGAAATGCTCAAGCCAAATATTTGCAATACCCCCTCCACCTAAGCAATTTCACTCATCCGCCTCACAAAACATAACTGCTGTTGTATAACTGTGCACTGTTAAACTTACCATACTTCATACCAGAGAGGGCTGCAATTCATCACTGAGTGAAGCGATTATATTAAAAATTAATTTAAGCAGCTTGGGATCCTTTAAGAAGGGAAACCATGATTAGTGTAAAAATATATTTAATGGACAGGGATAATTGTTAATAACAGAACTGTCAAAGAGTTCACATCCAATAAGGTTAGTTTATAGAGAGCACTTAATACATAACAAGAGGCTCTTTAACCAACAGTATAAAAAAAGTGAAGTATGGTTGCACATCAAAAGGTCAAAATCCATGAAAGTTAGACTATTTACCAAGTCCTCATTTTCTGTCCTCAAATACTTAGGTGCATGCATGTGAATGAGAAGTATACACCTGTATTTAAGGTCAGAATCCATATTCAGCCATAACAAGGGGACAGAGCTAATGATTGTTGTTTAATAGAATTTTCCACAATTAAAGGTATTAAAGCTATTAACTTGTTTGTAAACTTCCTTCTTAACAGTATGTAACTGCTATACCTGGCACTTGGGAAAGATGTGCCAGATCCATTATATAACAGGAATCTGTTAATCTGAAACTAATTTATATCCATTTGATGTCAGCATAGTTGATATAGTAAAACTTAAACTTATGGAAAAATACTACTTACTGAATAGACATTTCAAACACAAACTTTTCTGTTTTAAGTCACAGCACCCTTGAAAAATTTTGACACTGACAGTCCACAGAAGCTTTTCAACTTGCAGAAATAAAACCTAGATAATCACTGGCCACTTTATGCTGATCTTACTTTTTACTGTCATTTCTTCCAGTGATATGGGCTAGTCATTAGGATATTAAATCCATTTAATTTTCATTTAAAAATAGATTTATCAAACGTTAACAACTCAGTAGCGGACAGCGTAGATAGAAACTATGCCTGCCTAAGCAAAACCATTTAAGCTACTGACAAATCTTTTTGAAATTCTACTTTCTCTCGTGGAAGTGAAGTTTCAAGCAGTATATTTTCTTCACACAGATGAATGCAGCCATCTGAAAGACCCTGAGCTTTAGAGAAATGAATCTATATATGTAACATCACTGCAGGTAAAGTCAACTTGCACCACTGCAAACAGATAAGAACAAGTTATTAACAGGATTATAATATCCAGTGTAAACAAAATTATGAAATATGTATTTAAGTCAACGAAGTTAGGGTGAAAAGGAAATGTATATCTAGGTACCCAAGCTTATACTGTTTTAGAGGTTGTGATTTAAAAGTGTAACTGATCCAGGGGAATGGCTGACCTTAAGTTTTTATCTTTTGTATTTTTAAAATTTGTATTAATTTTACTGAACTGAATAGATTTTCACACTTGTATGTATTGTACTGTTCTCTATGGCCTCTAGCTAAGATGCTATATCAGTAATTTTTCTAACCCTTGCCAGGTAGCCAAGCATTATCTTACAAACATACCAACAAACAAAATATTGCTTTATCACTTCAAGCAATCAGAAAAGTTAAGGTCACTATTCTCTGCTTACTGTAAACTTTTGTAGGACTTGACTAACTTCACTAACAAGAAACGAGTGGAAATTTCCACAGGCATTCAGCTGTGACCTTGCATTTCCACTACATTTCACTTAAATCAACATCAAGATATTGTATCCCTAAAGTTGGTGTGGAGGGCAAGGGAAAGAGAGGGGTATTCCAATCAGTAAAAGTAAAGAAGAAAAATAAAACAAGTAAATTATCTCCATCATTCAAGAAGCAAGACTTACCTGCTGGTCGATAATGTTTTTCCATTCACGTTTGGAGAAGTAGATGGTTCAGAATGGAAAAAGTTTTTTATCCACCAGCATTTATCAAATAATTCAGGTAACCCTACAAAAGGGAACATAATAGCAGTGATTGGCATTTAATCAAAGTGCCCAAAATGGGAAAAACGTATGTTTGAAAGAAAAGGGCAATACCATGATGGGCTTTATCCTGGTCTGAGAAGTTCACGGGATCAGAACAGAAGGATGAACTACCTGATGAAACACTGGATTCAGAATTCAATCGAGCTGAGTGTAGAAAACAAAGCAATGGTCTCAATTACAGAACATACATTAATTCCACACTAAAGATTTTTTTCAAGACTTTACAGACCCCCGATACCTCATAGAAGACACTGTATAGCTAGAGATAATATCTTTTTTTCAGTAAACTTAATTTTCCAGTATTTTTATATCCCTTTTTTGCTAGGGACATTGCATGAAGGCAGGATAACTATTTTATGAGTTCACCTACTGCTACTGCTTATTCCTCACCAGAAGAGGCATGCTGAGATGTAATCTGCTGGTGTAACTTTCACTGAAGCTAAATGAAAGTTAAGTCCACAAGATGTATTTTAGGATCAGGCATATATATTGCTATTAATACAAGAGATTCAGTTCTAGAATACTGACCTTTGATATAACTAATAGGAGAGAAAAGGTGGGTGAGGTAATATCTTTTATTGGACCAACTGCTGTTGATGAGGGAGACAAGCTTCCAAAGACCTGAAGAAGAGCTCTGTGTAGGCTCAAAAGCTTCGCTCTCACCAACAGAAGTTGGTCCAATAAAAGATATTACCTCACCCACGTGGTCTCTCTAATATCCCAGGACCAACAGAGCTACAACAATACTGCACATAAGAAATAGGACACATTATACTAGAACCTTTTTTCTCCCTATGCTTTCCTAACAAAATTAATACCAATAATGCTTTACATTATAGTGTGTCATCCAAAGATCTCAAAGCATCAGAACATTTAGGCTCACAACTACTTGGGAGAAGCAGGCAAGTAGCATTTCCCCATTTTACAGATGAGGAAACAAAGGCACAGAGACATTAAGTGACCCGCCCACACAGGAAGTCTGGACCAGAGACAAAAGCCAAATCACTTGATTCCTAGTCCTCTGCATTAGCCATAAGATTTTATGTAATGACCCACCAGGGACCTCCAGATTTCAAAGCAAGAGTTGCTACAGCTTTAGCTAAAGAAGTAAAGTTCTACAGTTGGCTAATGCAAGAACTCATATCCACTATGGGTCGGCAAAGAGAGGGACTTGCAACAAACTCACCAGTGGGTTACACATCCTTCCTTTTGATGTTTATTAATGTCAACTGCAAGTTACACACTCCTCATGAGAGGAAAAAGTCTTTCCTCTTCATATGAGGAAGGAGAAGTAGGAGATTAAGTCACAGAAATACACAAGCCCCCTAAAAATTAAGATTAGCCCCCCCTCCATAGACAATAAAGAACAAAATAAACAGAACAGTCCTCAAACCTCCAAATCCCTCAGAAGTGACTTAAACACCTTACAACCAGGTGTTGAAACTTTTTCATAATCAGCATTAGTTTTGAGATGTTTCCTATCCAAAGAGATGGAGAATGTTTAGCCATGTAACTCTCTCCTTCATAAACAAGAAGAAATTGCCACGAAATAGAAAACATGCACCAGGTTTTGTTTAAAGATTTTTTTGTTTGTTTGTTTTAAAAAACACCTTACTTCTGTAGTACTGATTCTTGGCCAGGAGGCAGCCAGCTGAAGGCACAGATGCCATAGCAAAGGCACTGACTGGGGCAAAAGTCAAGCAGACTGGCACAGAACAATCTGCAGGAGAGCAACAGAAAAAAAAAAAAGAAATAGGTTGGCAATAACGAGCTCTAGTGTAAAGTGTCTTTCACACCACGGTACAGCACAACCTTGTGCAACATCTTTATTGGGGCCCTTCTGATCTTTGGGCTAAGTTTTGATGTTGATGGAACTCAGCAGATTTTAATTAAATAACTTCCGATTTACTGTACTTACACCAGCGTGAGGAAAGGGGAAAATATGTCCCAAAGAAACCTTAAACGTATAAGGTCAGGAAGCACCTCCCCCAATTTGCAATACAACAGACTTCTAATGAGCACCCCAACAGCACCCACTGGGTAACCCAACTTAACGCCCCAGCAGTTATCCTGGTGGCCTGTGCAAAGCAACCCTAAGCCCCTACCCACACTCCCCGCTGCCCCTGCAGAAGCAGAAATCCTGCTCCCTTTACCTGGATGGCCCACGCTCCCCGAAAGGCCTCCCCCTCTGCAGCGCCCCCGCCCAGCCAGCAAACGGGACGGGGCTCTGCATGCACACGCGAGCACTCCTCAGCAGCAAGCGCCCGCTGAGTAGTCGGGAAGCGCGAGGCGGTGGCGTCTGTATATAGCGGAGCCCTGGCGCGCGACTGAAACCCTAGCCGCGGGGCGCCTCCCCCGACATGGTGACCTCACACAACCCCGGCCCGGGCCAGGCGGGCGGAGTGAAATCCCGGCGGTGGGAAGGGGAGGGGGGCGTGCGCACGTGCTGCCTAGCTGACGAGCGGGGGCGGAGCGCGTGCTGCCCTGGCTGGGAACGTCCTGCGAAGAGCACGGGGGACCTGTGCTGCCCCGGCCTGTGTGATCGCGGGGTGCAGAGGGCTCAGCGCTATAAGGAGAGAGGGTTGTTGAGGGACAGCCCCCCCCGTCCTTGCAGCTGTGGAAGTGCTGTAAGGAATGGGGTTGGGCAGGGTTTTCGGGGGCGCACACACCTCTTACAGCAGGTGGTTCCCGGCACGTAGGGAGAGTGGAGACAGGGGAACCACCCCTTCATTCCTTCCTTTCCCCCCTCCCTATTTGGAAGAGGAGAGCCTTGCCGCACAATCACGCCACTGCTGATGATCTCACGCTCTATAGAGAGGCTTCTAGCTCGTCCCCACGCCCGCACTTTTCCCTAATATTCAGTCCATTTATTGGGGTTGCATGGTGGGGGGAAAGATTAGTGGCCCAAAAGTGCTATTCAAAGACCTCTGTTTTAAGCAGTCAACGGGGAGAGGATTTGCAGAAGGGAGTTGCCAGCAGCTCTCACAATTTTATCGTGGGTCTTGTGGTATGCGTTGCGTTTCTCAAAACCCCAGCTTCTGAAATCCTGTGATTAGATAAGACTCTCCGCTTTCATTGAAGAAATTAGTTTCCAACCCTTCTAATTGCAGAGAAAAGCTTGAAAATGTGCCGTGACTGCACCCTAAAGGTTCAGAAACTACATGGCAAATAAAAACAACACAATTAAAAAAAAATTGGGGCTGTGACTCATGGTGTTTTGTTTTTCTTTTAAACATATGGGGTTGGCATGTCTATCTACGTATTTATACCATACTTAATCATCACCATGGCATCTGAACACTTTAAATCCAAAACAACCTAATCATGAAAGGTTTGATGTTTGCCCTCAGAGCTATGCAGAATTGCCAACAGCAATAAAGCTAGTCAAACTTTTAATCAAAAACGGTTTTCAGTTGGAAAATGCTCTTTGACAAACTTTTTTTTTGTGCAAAATTGTATCAATTTCTTTCTAAAAAACTTTTCATTTCAAAATTTGTTATATTAAAAATGTAAAAGGCTCAAAATCTAAACAAAGCATTTTGATTTCCAAAAAAAAAAATTTGATGTAATTTTGTTTCACAATTTAAAAAATGGCTTTTTAATCTTAAGGAGGAACACTTTTAGCCATATCTCATAGGAGGATTGGCAGAGATGAAAACACAGCTTATGTTGCAGTTGTCACATCATTTGATGCTGCTTAACTCCCTTGAGTGGTATATCCTATCTTATACCAAAAGAACCGGAACAGGGTTGGTGATGTCTTCTTCTAGTGCATTTAGTAAAAGTGAAATGATACTTATGGGAAACATATTGCTTATGAAAGTGTACAACAGCAGAGCTCCTGCCCTGCGATCATCCTCTAATGACACTGTATAGTATAGGGTCTTTGCATTGATCTTCTGTCAGAGATTTAAATGGCAGCTTTGACTGACTATCCTGAGTTGAACGTGGAGGCTTGCCTTGGTTAAAATAGTAAGGCTGACTAGGATAAGTAACTGACAATTGGTTTGGTACTAACTGTACTTAGATCATTTACTTCAGGGGTCTCGAACTCCCGGCCTGCGGGCCATCTGCAGCCCGCGAGCCTCCCCAATGTGGCCCGCGGGGCTCCAGCAGTTTTGGGGACGGGTCTATCCCTTGGTCCCACCTGCTGCCGCCCCCAGGCGCTCCCCCCTCAGGGGCCCCAGCAGCGCAGCGGAGCTGAGCGGCGTCTGCCTGCTCACTCCAGTGGCTGCTGGCCCCTCCCTGTGGCCCAGGGGTTGGGTAGGGCTGTGCCTCCACGCACTGCCCCTGCCCCAAGCATCCCTGTGGCCAATGGGACACTGCGGGGGCAGAAGCACGCGGAGGCCCCCCGGCCAGCCCCGCCTTGGAGCCCCAGGTAAGCACCGCACCCCCTCCCACCTCCCAGAGCCTGCACCCCCACCCTGTCCCCACATACCCCCCTCCTGCCTCCAAACTCCCTCCCAGAGCCTGCACCCCCTTCCCCTTCCCACACCCCCCCTCGCACCCCCAAACTCCTTCCCAGAGCCTGTGCCCCGTCCCCACACCCTCCTGCCCCCAAACTCCCTCCTACAGCCCGCACCCCGTCCCCACACACACTCCCGCCCCCAAACTCCATTCCAGAGCCTGCACCCCAGACCCCCTCCCCCACCCAAACTCCCTCCCAGAGCCCAACCTCTCACCCCTTCTGCACCCAAACTCCCTCCCAGAGCCTGCACCCCAATCCCCTACCCCAGTCCTCCTCCCCCACCCAAACTCCATTCCAGAGCCTTAGGCAGGTGGGGGGCGGAGTTTTTGGGGGGCAGGTTCTAGGTGGCATGAGTGACATTGGCCCGCTGGGAGGATTTGAGGACTGGCACTGGCCCTAAGGTAGATTGAGTTTGAGACCCCTGATTTACTTCTTGTTTTTGCCTTGGAATGTTAGTAAATCGATATACAGAGTAGTACTTCATTATGTTAGTTTTGAAAGATTAATAATATATCTTTAAAACACACTAGTTTATGTTCCACATGATGTTGTTTGCAGAATCTTGTTTCAAGGTAGCTAAACAGAACTCTGAACTGATTTTATCTGCATTATTGGCTCAGCTTATCTAATACCTGTTAGATCATATTTACTGACTCAGTGAAGAATTTCCCTCTTGGTACTTTCGTATTGGCAGACATTAGATACTACTGTTTACTCTCATTTACTGCATGCCATCAATGCCACAATGGCCCTTTAATTGTTAACTCCACTGTAACTGGGTCCAGGGTTTAGAAAGGCATTTATCATGTTCACCACAGTCTTATAGGAGGAGCTAGTAGCACCACTTCTGATTAAAGGTGCCCAATACTTCCCAATATAAGAACCTGTTTTCAGTTACTTATAACTTTACCAAACCTTAACTATTTGGGATGAAATTTTCCATTCTTCCTGTCTGCCTCAAGATGATTTTTTTTCTATTAAATTTTAGCCAGTTGGTTCAGCCACTTCCAAGAATGAGGCTAGTGAAAAATATTGTCTTGCCCCTGTAAAAAAAATCCTGGTGACCCTTTCTTTGAAAAGCTCTAGTACCATTCTGCTTTGGATCAGGTACTTGAATCATAGAATATCAGGGCTGGAAGGGACCTGGTCATCTAGTCCAACCCCCTGCTCAAAGCAGGACCAATCCCCATACAGATTTTTGTCCCAAATCCCTAAATGGCCCCCTCAAGGATTGAGCTCACAACCCTGGGTTTAGTAGGCCAATGCGCAAACCACTGAGCTATCCCTTCCCCCCAAATATGGTAGGGGCATGGTCTTTGTATCAGGAATATTGCTTTTGTCATCCTGTCATCCACTCTGAAGTTTGGAAATGCCAAAATTAAGGTTGCCTGTGTAAGCTTAATTCAGTTCCATGGTGCTTGTGCATTTTGATACAGTGCTCCATTACATAATCACCTATTGCTTTTTCTCCCACAGGACTCTGACTTCATTCAGTGACAGGATGGATGGTGCTCACTTGCTGAGAAGCTTTCTCTATTTTGTTTTCTCCTCATTGTTCAGTGTGTCGCCCCTGGCCTTATTTTCCGTATGCTATTCAAATGCTGCTTGAAGACAGGATTATTAATTATTAATTTCCTCATGGGCCTTTTTGTGGTGCTCATCAGTATAGCATCTGACTGCTTCACCAATATCAATGATTTTTTTCACAATACTTCTGTAAAATGAAGGGTATTATTATCCCTATTTTGCAGATAGGGAACTGAAGCACAGAAAGTTTAAGGTCAAAAGTATCCACTGATCTGGGGTGCCAAATCTGATGTGCCTAGGACCTGATTTTTCAGAGTACTTATTTTATAGTTCTCTGAACATAGACCAGTTCTACCATCAGTTTTCAGCTCTGAGGGTTCAGCATTTCTGCAAATCAGGCCAGTCAGGCACCCAGAAAACGATGAATACAAAGTTAACAGCCACCCATGGTTTAAGTGACTTGCCTAACATCACATAGGAACTCTGTGGCAGAGACAGGAATAGAATCCAGTTCTCCAGGGCTGCATTCAATTCACCTAACCATGAGACCATCCTTCCTATTCTTGCAATCTCCCGCTTCATTGAATTCCAACTTCTGCAACAAATGAAGCAGGGGTCCTGCAGACGAGAGTCTCCTACACTGCACAACTATGCTCCACTATCAGAGCATATCCATTCTGTGCTGAATAAGGCAAGGGTGGAAAATAGTAATATGAGATCATGTAATTAAAGACTGTATCGTAATGCATATGCACAAGGGACCAGATTAAGGTTGTACAAGCTACCTTAATTCTGCCATATCCTAACTTTTGAGTACTTGACTTTGCAACCTTAATAATTGCTTTTAATGTAGTTTTATGTATGTGTGCATGTGCATAATTAAAGTTACAAGATTGAATTATATGGTGCCCCAAGCCTTCATAGAACCTATCACAATTATAAAACAAATTCGAAAAACAAAGGCAACATGGCCAAAATAAATATATCTCCTATCCAGTGCAGAGTTCAAACATACAATCTACAATGTCAGATATTACCTGGCATAACCCATCTTTAAAATGTACAAAAATAAAATGACATCTCAACAAAACCAGAACAATTCCACCTTGAAGTCAAGCTAAATTAATCATTTGCAATAAATAGTTTATCTAATAACTTAGCTGATCTCAAACTTAGCTGCTTTCTTTGCTCTTGGAATATCTGAGATCAGACTGTGAGCTCCTTGATTGTATTTGTTGTGTGAAATTATTAAACAGTTTTTTGTATTCCAACTCCCTCACTGTTGTATTCATTATGAACAGGACTCAGAGTATTTAACATTTGCTATTTGAGCAGTGGTTGTTCTGATTGGTCAAATAAGTCACATGCCTGT